AAGCCCTTGCACATGTGTATGTATGATGACAGCCACATTCAACGACTCACGATGAAGGTGTCAATTCGGCGGTTTGGATCCACCTCCATCCTCTCAACAGCATCGGCCCACGACGCTGTACGCATACATGATGGTGGGCGTGAACGTGTGTGTGTGTGTGTGTGTGTGTGTGTGTGTGTGTGTGTGTGTGTGTGTGTGTGTGTGTGTGTGTGTGTGTGTGCGTGTGTGTGTGTTTGCATGCGTGTGCACACGTGTCAGTGAGTGAGTGCTTTGTTTGTATGTTTGGATGGGCTTACAGATACCCACACATATACTCTCTCTCGTGCTGGGAGAAGGCAAGCAAGTGCATTATGTTCGTACGCGCGGCTCACCTGAGAAGGCGGTTGTCAGGATGAGAACAAGGAAGCATGCAATGGCATCCTTCAGCATTGTCTGCAGTGTGCGTACGCAGGGCGGGGGGTAACAGCAAACGTGTGAACTCGATGCTCAAGATAAGCTCGGGGCATACACCAAGAGAAATACATGTGTACATGCGAATGAAAGCACCTGCGAGGACACTGATAACAACACACACACACAAGCACACACAAGCACACACACACACACACACACACACAAGCACACACAAGCACACACAATCACACAAGCACGTACACATGCAAACAACACTCTCACACAGCCGCAAACACACACGCACACACGTCGGAAGCAGTTACGCACGTCCGCTGGCTTCGGCTGGAGGTGGAATACGAGCCGGCTCGCAAGGGAATAGACGGCGAGGAACATGGCAATGCCGTGGGCCAAGAGATGACTGGGCCCAACGTTTTCCATGTATGTGACCAGCATCTGGTCGCCAACTTGCAGCGAGCTTCCCATCTTCAAGATTGCCGCACCAAAGCCCTTCAAGCACACGCAACGAATTCGTTATTGAGCGTGCTCACATCAACAAGGTACGCTGGATTGAGCAGAGGCGCGAGCAAGCATAGAACCCCGAAGGAAGGGGCTGGAAACTGTGATATGTGCTGCAGCAAAACACACGTTATCCCTCGACAAGCGAAGTACACACCGCACCCCCCCTCCCACACACACACATACACACACACATACCACTTGAAAGACGCGTGTGATAACGTCCAGCTTGAGGAGCGGATCAAAGTCCGCAAACTGCTGCATCACGGATGCCATCATGATGTGCGGTGTACGTTGCTTAGCCCCTGGTGAATGCTGAGTGAAACCGCATCAGCGTGGCAGCAAAGTCGAGGAAATGAACATGACGAGATGAGAATCAGAAACTTGTCGGCAGGCTGCTGGGCACACACACACACACACACCTACGCACACACATACACGCACACACACATACACATAGAGCGCCGTATTACCCAACACAACAGCACGCGAGGGTGCAAGCAAGCACGGCAACAACAACCAGAGCATCCCCATCCGCATCCTCATGGTGTCATCGCAGTCGTCATCGCTACCTCGAGAGTTGCGTTTGCCGTGCCGCAGAAAATGCCCAGGTATCATCCACAAAACTGCAACAACTGAGAAAAGCCAATGAAAATATTAGACAATTCTCTGCACTGTGCTTTTGTTTGCTCCACCACAACAAACACCACAAGGACCAACTAACCAAGCCCGCACACCCCATCCATCCAGCCACACACAACAAGACAGGCCATGTCGACTCGGGCCACGAGAGCCAGCCGCAAGCTTGCGGAGACGCAGCAGGCGGTGCTGCACTACATGCTTGACCAGCCAGAGAACAAAATGTGCGCCGATTGCGGCACGCGAGGTGCGGTTTTGCACACATGCGCTGTTTTGGGGGATCCGTGCTGTGGCGATGATTCTGTGCTGACGGTGTCGCTGTGTGTTTGCGAATCACATTTGGTGACGATGTCGGTCGCCCCTCCCTGTGGACGCGAGAAGAACGTTCTTGCCCATCATCATATCAATCTTCCCTCACCGCCTTCATCTCAACCCCGTGCCATGTTGTTGTGTTTGTGCGGCTTGGTGCGGTTTTGTGCGGTTTTGCAGGACCGCGGTGGGCTTCATGGAATTTGGGTGTCTTCCTGTGCATCCGCTGCTCTGGCATCCACCGCAGCCTTGGAGTGCACATCTCCAAGGTTCGCTCGACCACGCTGGACACATGGGCCCCGGAATGGATTGAGGTACAGCTGCCTGGTGTGCTTGTCGGGTTCTTGTTGCCTATGTTTAGCTCTGTGTGCATGCTGTGGTTGATTGTGTGTGTGTGTGTTTTGAGCTGTCCGTACTTTCGTTCTGCCTGTGTAACCGTGGTCCAAGGCACTTGCATGCTGTTGATTTGATTGCCTGTCTATACTCCCTACACTGCTCGCACATCAATGCGCTCCTGATTGCGTGTGGTGAGCACAGGGAATGTCTCTGCTTCGTTGCTGTCTGTGCCCATGAAGTCTTTGTCCTCCATCCTTGCTTACCCGCTGTTTTTGCCCGCCCACACCCCCATCAAACCACGCCTCATCGGGTGTTTGAACTGGCAGTCCATCTCCAAATGGGGCAACAAGCGTGCCGCCCTCCTTTGGGAGTACCACCTGCCGCAGGTACGCTTTTGGGCCAATGTGCTCATATTGGGGGTTGCCAAGGTGTTTCCGCCGTCCCCTGTCATGATCGTGTTTGCGCGGATCTGCTCTGGGCTCTGCCGCCTCACACCATCCTGCCCCGCGCGCACGTTCCCCACCAACTCAATTCCCATGCGTCTCACCTGCTCACCAACACGCACACAACACCACCACCACCACCACCACAACAACAACAACAACAACAACAACAACAACAACAACAACAACAACAACAACAACAACAACAACAACAACAACAACAACACACATACACACACACATATACACGCACACATGTCTGGCTGTGTTTAGAACTTCAAGCGTCCAGTGCATGACAACGGCGCCATGGAGATGTTCATTCGCTCCAAATATGTCACGGGCAAGGTGTGCGCATCATCACCCTCAACAACACCTCAAACACATGCTTGGAGCGAGCGCATACCCCCTACCACCATTGCTATCAACAGCGACAACGCGAACCGCAACGCCACACCACAGCAACTCACCAACCGTCACCTGTTTCCTGTTTCAGTTCAAGCGTAAGGCGAGCGACCCGCCACTGCCACCACCAGATGCCATCCCCATTGGCTCCAGTGACGCCGACAAGAAAGCCGACAAGAAGGTAGACGTTTGCATCCACCACTTCGCCGTATGCGTCATCGTGGTGTTTGCTGGTTGCCGTTTTCTTTGCTTTGCAATGCATCTTACCCACAATGCACACACACACACACACACACAAACAAACAAACAAACAAACAAACAAACAAACAAACAAACAAACAAACAAACAAACAAACAAACAAACACACACACCTCCCCCCTCTATGGTTGCAGAAGAAGTCGCGCAGCAAGAAGATGACAACAACAGCAACGGCCAACCAGGGGGTGACCCTCCTTGACTTTTCACAGCCCGTGCAGGCCCCGCCACCAGACGCCAAACCGCTCGGCAGCGCAGCCCCCGTTACAACGACGACAACCACCGCCACTGCTGCCCCTGCCAAGGATACAACACAGCAGGCGCAGACAAAGGCGTCATCTGCAGGTGAGCCTTGCGTGGATCACGCAAGCGTGGAGTGTGGTGTGTGTGTGTGTGTGTTTGTTTGTGTGCTTGGATGTATACCTTTTGCTTCTCGTGCACGTATGTGCACATGCGCTTGCATTTCCATGCATTGTGACAACCTTCTTGGCTCACGCGGCCTTTTGTTTTGCTGCTGCCAGAGGAAGATTTGCTCGGCGGTCTGTTTGGCCCATCTTCTTCAACGCCTGCAGCCACAACAGCTCCACAGCAGCCACAACAGCCACAACAACAACAACAACAGCAACCGCCGCAGCAGCAGCAGCCGCAGCCTGCATCGTCCAACTATGACGACATCATGTCGCTGTTTGACAAGCCAAAGCAGCAGCAGTCCGGCTTCCTTGCGCACCCCATGCAACAGCAGCAGCAGCCGATGATGGCGATGGGTGGCTTCCCCCAGCAACAGCAGCCGATGGGGTTTGCGCCCGCATTCCAGCAGCCGCAGCAACAACACATGTTCATGCAGCAGCCACAGCAGCAGCAAATGTTTGCTCAGGTGAGTGCGTGATTGATATGCGTGTGCGTGTGTGTGTGTGTGTGTGTGTGTGTGTGTGCGTGCGTGTGTGTGTGTGTGTGTGCGTGCGTGCGTGTGTGTGTGTGCGTGTGCGCGTGTGTGTGTGTGTGTTTGTGTGGGTGATAAACCCTATGTTGATGTTTGATGCAGCTTGGTTGTCGCCTGCCCCACTCAAATCTAACCGTCTGCTGTTTGTGTACATCTCTGACAGCAACAAGGATTTGCGCAGATGCAGCAAGGCTTTGGGCAGATGTAAGTGGCACACACCGCAACGCACCCAGCCCACACACGTGCCTACCAACACACGCACACACACACACACACTCTCTCTCTCACACACACACACACACACTATCTCTCTTGTGTGCGATCTGTCATGCTGGTGGTGGTTGCAGGTCGATGACACCACAGCAGCCGCAGCAGCCCGGTGGCGGCTACACGATTGGAGGCTCTCTGTGGCAGTAGGAGATGGAGGACAGGTGTTGTGATGTGATACATTGGTTGCATCGTTTTGGTCGGTGTGTGTGTGTGTGTGTGTCTGATGGGCTTTGGAGCTTGTAGTGCAGGCAGGCGAAGGTGTTTCGCCTCTCACGTGCAATGTGCTAGCCGTTCTGAAGATGTGATTGGAAGGAACAGCGTTGAATAGTTGAGATGAGTGGGAGAGCGTGCTGGAGAGAGGGGGGGGGGGTGCTCTTGGTGTAATTGGTTGGTTGGTGGCATTGGTTCGCTCGTTTGGGTTGTGTTGCACATTGCTTGGTTGCTCTCTTAGATTACAGCGAAGCCAAATCTACTTTGGGGGTCAGCACACTTGCGAAGAAATCGAAACACACGCACGCACACGCACGCACACAACAGCAGCAGGAGGTGCAGTGCACGAGGGCACACGCACGCAGGTCAACACTACAGCGAAGCAAAAGCAACAGTCTGGTACGGGGGCGGGGTCAGCACACACACACACACATGCATCAGCAGTGAACGCAAAAACAAACCGATTCAAGCGTTGCCGTGAGTTGGACAAGCAAGAAAACATTCCAAAAAACAAGCAAGAAGAAGAAGAAGAAGAAGAAGAAGAAGAAGAAGAAGAAGAAGAAGAAGAAGAAGAAGAAGAAGAAGAAGAAGAAAGAACAGTCTCCAATAGACGATGGTGCAGCGGCACGATCCTGACCATCATCATCATCATCATCATCATCATCATCGTCATCATCATCATCATCATCATCATCATCATCATCATCATCA